ATCATGAAAATTAAACCTTATTTTCAATAAGCAATCCTGAAAAATATTTGGGGGTGCTTAACTTTTTTCCAGGTGTATATATACATACAGTGTTCGAAGAAACTATAGAAACGCACAAATGATGCACATAAAGGAGTCACAAACAATGAGTAATTCCAACTAAATAATCACTATCATTGATGTATCATATTATTACAGATAATGCAAAAGAAAAGCAAGTAAGTTACAAAATTTACTTGCATTTTCTAATTGCTTTAAACATAGTAGTACGCCTTGTTTTCATGCTACCATAGGTTTATCAATTCACGATTGTGAAATATTTCTCCAAATGTCCTGTACTACTTCCCATAGTTAAGCCAAGTTGTTTGGTTGCGATTTGATTTTCTCTGTTTCCATTAAGGTGATACACTTAATGATATTCGTATCGGAATTATGTGCAGACTACATTCGTGCTGATATGCATCTTGTTGTTCTACTTACAGTTAAGCTATTAGTAAGATCTCTACTAAATTGTCATACATCACGTAAAGAGCACAAACTGAGTGACTTAACCTGATATTTGAAAAGGTAAGACTTTCTACCTCGACCACTTCTATATATTATCAACAGAAATAGTCTCACGTACCTACTTCATTTCCATACAGCTCCTACTGAAACATGAAACTTCAATCTGTTGTATGGAATAATATTCAGCCTTATTTTCTATACGTTTGACAGGTGGCATTTTTATTTGAGTTATGAGTGCATTTGCCTCACTACTGCTGGGAATAGTATGACTGCCTGTACTTTGAACAGCAATGTGTGAGGTTAGTTGTGTTATCAGTTAGATAACAGCCATTCACAGTGTAAACTATTAGCATGTGACTGTACTCTGTTGCAGTTCATTTTCATATGATAGAGGGTAAGCAATCCCATTATATTGCATAATATATTATAGTATATTTGCTTCAAAATAACCCGAATCTCTGATATTTAACCCCTTAATCACTTACTGAAATATATTTGTTGATCTGTAAAACAAAAATAAAATATATTGAATCTATTCCTAATACAACTCAATGTGTAAATGTACTTTAGGTGTATTAAAATCTTACTTTCCAATGTAGTTGTAATTATTCTGGTTTGATGCAATTTAAACTTTAGAATATGTAATGGCATTCTTGGTCTATTACTTAAATGGGTTACTTGCAATTTAAACGAGTTTTTTAAGTGTAAAAAAATTCTTACTTGCATTCATGTATACTAGAGTTCATAGGTTTTACTTTTTTTTAATTTTATAATTAATCTGAGAAATTCAATTTCTTCAAGTCCAAATTTATAATTAAAAAACTTTGCAATGGTTTTGGTTTTCTCCAAATGAACAACAGATTTTTTCAATTTGTGTTATTTTTCTTCTTAAGTTCTGATTACTATTCCTTATATTAAAAACACGGAAATAATTTTATTTCAGAAACAAAAACACCAAACAGTAAAACTATAAAATTCTTCCATATCCCACATTGTGGCTCATTGTGTTCATTCAGTAACCCAGTATCTACCCCAGTATTAAAATACTGCCAGAATATCTACAACAGTAACATTTCAGTTAAATGTGATAATGTGATATACAAAACCTCACCAAGTAAGTATCTTATTTTGAAAAACACTTTTCTTAAATCACAACTGTAGGTGTAATTAGGTAAATTAACAAACAATATTATGGTTATGAAATAAGCTAATAAGGGCAATTCATATGGTCAACAGAATAAACAAATAGCACAAAAACTCAAAATGAAACATTGAAAAAGACATTTTATTCTATGGTGAAAATTTTTATTCAAACAAAACTTACAAAAATATTATGAGTAACTTATTCACATTAATCAACTCAGCAAAATTTGTATTTGTAATGTCAACTTTTTATATAATTGAGCAAAATTATATCAACTACTTCTACAAATATTTTAAAACTGATAATTGCTCTCAAACTATCTGTCTAACTTGAAAAATAGTAAGACAACCTGGTATACCTTTTCATTATAACAGTCAGTAACAGTTTACAAAATATGAAAAATTCCTTAAGATTTTTTATGTAAAACAAAAACTGTTTGAAAATACATTTGGCAAATTTTTCCACATCAGTCTTCAAAAAAAGGTCCTTTTCTTTATATAAAGAAATCAACTTTATTTGTGGTAAAATAAACTCAAGTATTACCCAATTCAAAATAAAGAACTAAACATGAACTAAATAAATGAATGACTTTTAACACTACATGGCACTTTTTCTGTTCCATGTCTAAATTTATACAAAAGAAAAGTACTCAGTTAATCCTGACAGCCTTGGTATATATAATTATATATACCCCCATTAAAATTCCATCCACAAACTTTAGCTTTTCAATGTATTTTTCATACTTTTTATTATACTTTCCATAACTTAGATTCAAGTGTACAAAAGTTAGAAGTTCAATTACACATCACAGTCTGTACAACTCAAATTTATAAATAGTGACACTTTAGAATTTGAATGCTTGAAAGTTACATTCTTTTGACTGCCATGAAATATTATGTAAAATACTATATCACTATAAATGTAAGTCTATTACTAAAATACAAGTTCATTCCAAAATTACAACTACAAAAGCTGCATGAGATCTGATAGTAAGTTCTGGGCTTCAAATGAATATTTGCTGTTGCCTTTGTAATGTAATTACCTACTTAATGTCTCAAATACATGTATGATTTTCCAAACCAAGAATCACTATTCTTTGGAACTTTTAAAACACAAAATTAAAAAATCATTAAAATATATTATTATTGCTAATTCAGATTGTTTTTTACAAAAGGCGAAAACTTTCTCCAAGAAGTTCATTAAATTTATATTAAAGATCTTGTTCATGACAGAAATCAGTTAATCTCACATAAAAATTAGAGTACTTATTCACCAACATTTCATTATTACAGCTTCATCATATAAGTGCTGTATATAAATGATTTTAGTCAAGTGTTTTCTTAGGTTTAACTATTCCTCATTTTAAGACAGTAAAACATAAAAACAGCAGACAATGTTGTTGTTTTTTAAGTTAATTATTTGTTTAGAGCAGGAAAAGTTAAAGTTACCTATATTTTGATCAGGAACATTTGTACAGTACAGAGCATTTATACCCTGATTGTGTTTGTTTGTTGGATTTTGCCCAAAACTCCTCAAAGGATACATCTGTACTAGCCATCTCTAATTTGAAAGTGACAGACTAGAGGGAAAGGAGATATCCAACATCACACACTGCCAACTTTTGTCAGAGTGAATAATTGAATTTGACCATCACCCTTATAACACACCCACAAGCTTAAAGTGTGAAGGAGGACTTTTGTTTTGGTTGTAATGAGGTGCAAATCATGAAACCTCATATTCTCTTCTGGCATGCCAACTATTGAAATATGCTCTGCCCTTATTCCCTGATGAAGATGAAATAAACTTGGTAAATAAATTTTTTCCTGAATAATGTGATTATTTTCATATTTTTTTTTATTTGGGGATTTTGTTCAATATACTCTAATCAGAACTATAAGATCTAAAGAAAAAAAAGTCAATTCCTTCACTGCTTAAAATGATTGCCCTTTTTGCAATCTCAACAATTATTATGTAAGAAAATAAAATTCATTACCAAAATATTTATCTTTGGAATCAAAAATATTGTGGAAGCAATATTTGTGCTATTACATCCAAAATCTTCATTAGGTAAAGTATTAAAAAGTTTTATAATTCCTTTTATATTACATTAGTTTTGAACCAGTATATATTTTTGTTTCATGAAATACATCTGCTATCAGTGCAAAATTTCACTAGGAACAAAGGGGAGTTAAAATCTAACTCTTTTGCAACATTTTAAATCTGCATGCAAAGCAAAAAATAACCTTATTACACTTGATCATCATCATGATCAGTAGCTACCCATATTCATCAATAGAATGAATTAATAAGCTATCACATTCAATAAATCTTTCTTTTTGAATTGTGTCAACTCTCAACCCAAAACAATATAATGCGAGACTTTAAGAAAATAACAAACAAAATGCAATTACAGGAATTTCAGAAAAAATATACCATGTAAATAGAAATTATGCAATGACTCTTATTAATAGTTATTTAGATTGACTTAACATCTTTCCATATAAAGCATACAATCTTCACATAGCATCTGCAGGTAACTGTGCAATAAAATATTGTAATTTTTAAAACAAAACAGTTGTACTTTTCCATAATTACATGTATTAAATCTAAGTCACACCATTTACTACTGTTTTTGCTTCAGATTATTACAGCTTTCAAAAGTATTCAACTGCAATTGATGAAATTGTAATTTTATCCATGATTTTCAGTTTATTTAATCATTACTCCATAAATACAATCATTTTAGGTTCAGTGTACTTCACAATCTAGGATTTGTTCTTCAGAAATAACTTGCTTCTTTTATAATGCTCTTAAAGAATGTATCAATATTACTAAATTTTAAATAGGTTTTTTGACTAGGCTGTCATCATTCTGAGAATTACAATACACATCAGTGTATTTAACTGTTAAGTAATGAAGTGTGAAAAAACTTAATTAATATCTACTAAATAAATTTGTTTATATATATATATATATATATATATATATTTATTTATTTATTTATTTATTTATTTATATACAAATGTAAATAAAAAAAACATTAACTAGGTATAATACACAGATTTCCATAAATCTTGTGTATTACTATTAACATTTAGGAATGAAATACAAATATAGTCAAGGTATATATTTTTCACTTATGTTCAAGATATTGGCTGCTCTTATGCAACTATCAGCACTCATTTTGTGTGACACTGAGATTGTTTCATCCCTTCCTTATTGCTGTCAATTTTTCTAACACCACCATCCTCATGTACCAAATGGTACAAGACAAATGTTAGATAGTCATATTTTTAAGGTACAAAGTTTCCTAAAACATTACAAATTAAGAAGTTAGAACTGATTGTTCATGCTAACCAAAAGCTGTAACCATTTACTCCTGCTTCACATTTCTTTTAGAGTATCAGAGCAAACAGCTGAGCATTTGTATACCTGAATTCCCCAGAAAACATCCTGAAATACAGCCACTGAGGTTGAGTGGAATTATTTTTTACTTAAAATATCATGAACAATTTACAAAAGATATCTAATTAAATATTTATATTTGAGGGCCAAGTGTACACCATTCAACATCTGGTGAACTAAATTGTAACCACCATAACAAGTCTAGATTCTATCTTAGCAACAGTAACAAAAATACTTGAAAATAATTATTTAATATTTATCAACTTATTATGGGTATATGATTTTAAATGTAACACTTACATTCTTTAAAACTGCTAAATGATTTCACAGAGATTATATCTATTTAAACACTTATCATATGTAAAAACATAATTTGTTCAATAAATTGTCTATAAATTTACACAAACCTTTAGATATGAAGCATATTTCCAGTAACACAATCACTGGTGCCTTCCAAAAATTTGCTAACTCAGTTAAATTATAAAATGTTTAAATCATGAGTTTAATTATTGTTTTTGCAAAGTTTCAAAATGTTTCAGAAACTGAATATTTTTCCAGAAAAAGTATAAGAAGCATTTTCTCCCCCTCTTCCTTTTTGTCAAAGTTAATGAGGAATTATAACAGTGAAATTGAAAAAAATATTATTATATCTGGATTAATCCTTCAACTGTTTCAAAGCTGTTTCCATTAACTCTTCTCAAAACTCTTCTAAATTATATATACATATATCCTGACTCTATCAAACTATCTAAAATTTTCCTGTTTCCTTCCTTTTATTAGTTAGTGTTGCAGTTATGCTATCACCAATTATTACATGTAAAAATAGATTCTTTTAGTTTCACCAGAATTTAGACTTCTGTATAAACTTTCTACATATATGTTTTTACTGACTCCATCAAGTTAATTCCAAATATCATTTTTTACTTTTCAAAATTCTGAATCCCAGCCTGAGTTGTCATCTGGTGGTAGAGCTTCATTATTTGGAGGATACTGATCAAAGTTACTGGTGTCTGATGCATTTCGTATCTGCAAGAATGATGATTTACATTCACAGTTATGTAATTAGTTGTTTAATAAAGTAGAATCTTTCTAAAACTTCTCTCCTCACACTTTCAGATCAATTCTTCAAAATATATATTGATCAACATTACTAATTTGAAAAATATCTTGTGCAAAGTTAAAAGAATCTTTAACCATAAACTCATTAAAAGTAAGTGAATTTAGAAAAGAAGCAAGGAATTTAGCCACTTTACAGGTATTGGATCTGATGTTGGATAAAATAGGTCTTAAGGGGATATTGTTTTTGTGAACTTTAGGCAACTTGTACATGAGATATGGGTAGGAACCTGACAGGTAAATGTCTGCAAAAATATTTTCAGAAATGTAATCACATTGTTTTAAAATTTCTTAAAAAAATATCTTCATTACTAGCTAATTCCTTTAAGGCAGTATATTCTTCATAAGTGATGGTGGAACTGGTTTTATTAGAATTGTAATTGTATCATTCTCACACAAGCTGATAAAGGTAAAAGTGTAGTTATCCTTAATAAACCAAATTACATTAACAAAATGCGTTGAATTCTCAACAACAAAAAATTCAAAACTCAATGTTGATTGGTTAAAGTTCACCATAAAACAGGAAGAAAAAATACGAGTTCTAAGGATTTTCAAATAATGTGATTACATTTCTGAGAATGTTCTTGAAGACATTTACCCCTCAGGCTCCCATCCAGGTTGCCTAAAGTTCACAAAAAACCATATCCCCTTAAGGCCTATTTTATCCAGCATTGGATCCCATACTTATAAAATGGCTAAATCCCTTGTTCCTATTCTAAATTCACTTACTTTTAACAAGTTTACAGTTGAAGATTCTTTTTCCTTTGCACAAACAATTTCTAAGATTACTAATGCTGATCAATAAATACTTTCTAGTTTTAAAATTGAGTCTTTTTACATTAAAATTCCACTCAAGGAAACAATTCAAGCAATTCTACAAACATATAAATTATAGCTTTTAGTCATTTATGAATTTTTTTTATATTTCATTTTCATCATATATTTCAAGAATATATGCATGATGTCAGAAAAACAGATTCAAGAATACTTGATACAAAATGATAGAAACCCTGTAATAGATTATAGGATTTATATCATTTTATATCAAAAATACATGAATATGGAAGCATACTAAATAAAATCTGCATTGATCTATTCATCATTTAACTTGAAAATATACCTTAACTTTGGTGGTATTAGTGTTGTAAGTGTAGTTTAAACAAATTATCAGAATTTTGTAATCCTAACAGAAGTAAGTGGTTTACTACAGTGAAATACTTATATTCTGAAATACAAATATTTTGGATATATCATTAAAATATTTTCTTGATGATCCACACTCAGAAGATATGCAGACTTTAACAAATTAACACAAATATTTATACTGGAGTTTTCTACAGTTAGGGTAGATTCTAATATAATATTAGCAAAATGTTTTTTTAAGAACTTTATACAGAAAGAAAAATTGCATTATTTAACAAATAAAATATTTTTGTGGTTAATAATCCAGAGAAAACTCTGAATAAGAGTTGTCCACAATCAAGCACATATGTATTAAAAGTAAACAGTTATCAATTATTGCATACTTTTCTTCAGTATATGTGCAAAAGTTACAAAAAAAAAAGTGATGTATTACAATTCATATTAGGAATTTAAGTTGAACTATACATGTAACCAGTGAGTAATTTACTTTTAATGCTGCATAGCTAGTGTATTTTACTTTGTTATTCCTACATATTCTTTAATCATTATTCTGCTGTTGACAATATTTGATACATCAGAAGGTAGTACGAAAAAAATGTATGCACTCTACACTCATAACAGCTGGGCTAATACTTTAAGTGACTTCGTTAGCATAAAATAATTTATTACAGCTTTTATAAGAGGTAAAATGAGTGATAAATATGAAGACCAACAGCAACAACTAAAAGTAATCATAGTTATTACCCAATAACAAAAGTGTGTGTTGGGTGTCAGTACCTACAAATTAATCCAGAGGGCAATAACACATAATTATGGCTAATGTTCATTGTTTATAATGATCACACGTTTTACCTGTGATTGTAGAGGAATAAAGAATAAGAGTAATGTTAACAAGTAATAGTGGTAACTTTACTGCTCTTACCCAAGATTAAACACTAAGAGTAAAAAATATAATCCATGTTAACAGTTACTACTGATCAAAGTCTTTTAAAATATGATTATTGTTAGCAAATAAGAGTAATAACAGTTCCTACTCATGAAAAGAAAAAACTTCATGGTGGCAATTAATAATGATTACAGTTCTTACCAAAGTAGAACCCGACAGGAATAAAAGTGTGTGATGAGTGTTAGCAACTGAAAGCTTTTACCTGAGGTAGAATAGGGGGTTGAAGTGAATGATCTCGGAGTCCTTCCCAGTTGAAGCCATCAAACCATCTAATAAATAAATAGAAATGTTTAGACTCTAGGCTCTTTAGAATGTCATCATCATAAATAATAATTAGTGTAAAAATTATTCCAATTAATTGTTTTAACAATTTATCAGTTTTAGTAGGAGACAATATAAACTAACAATGTGAATTACTGAAGAATACACAAAAAACAGGTAAAAAATTACAAAATAATAAAAAATGCTCTGTAATAGAATACAGCCTGAAGACAACTCTTTCAATAATCAAAATAAAAACTATAGGTTTCTCTTACCAAAAACTTGTTAAAATACATTTCACAAAATATACTAAAATTAATTATAACAAATATTCACAACTGAAAAAAAAAAATCTAAAACTAAATATGATATTACATATATATGTTAAATTGGATGCAGAGCCAACGAAACCAGACAGGGCACTTCAATGAACAGAAATACTAGAAATGCCACTTTAATAATTTGTAAAATATGTTGAATTGTTGTGGACAACAGATGTTGAAATTGTGTAGTGCAAAATCAAATTTTTACCCTTTAATCCAAGCACCTAATTTCAAAGATACTTTAAGTCAATCAGTCAGTCTTTACATTTTGACATCACAATATGATGATACCATCAAATGGTTGATAATACACAAACTACAGAAACTGATAAATTTACAGGAAATTCAAAAACATTCAGTAACATGCATATAGGATCATTCATTTCTAACATATCACAAAAAAAGCATTATTCCATACCATAAAATGCAATCAGAAATAAAGGAATCCATAAAGCTATACTTAAAACCACCTGAACCATACATACCACTTGCATTAACTTAAACAGTCGTGTATATCTAACACAAATACAGTATACAATAATACTGAAAAAAACTGTAGATATGCATTTCGGAAGTACTAAAAGCTTTGTAAGTATAATATGCAAATTATACAATGGACAAAAGTATCTTTATTCTTTACACGAACATTGCATTGCACTCCGACTTGATAGAGTCTCAATCAGACTGGTGTCATCAATTCAGAGACATATTGTAAGCACAACAGATTTGTAACTCATCTGATTTTTTTTTGTGTACAACAGACTTGTACATTTTACTAAAAGCTTGCTAGATTTTGTGTAGATACATGTAGTAAATTCAAATTCATAGTCAATATTCCTTCTCCAATACAGGGTCGGTCTAGTGGACCATGCCCGTCAACACTGCAATGCATCACTTGAATCATCTTACATGTATCTGTTCATGAAGAAATGTAAAATAGGTTATTTGCAATTACATAAATAAATTTTTTTCTAATTCATGTAGTAAACAAATTTCCATTTGTATAAATTTTAAGATGACTTTTATATATATAAACAACTAAACTAACCCTAATACTTACTTGTAGCGTATCAGGTCTAATGGAAATTTCTTACCTGTTTCTAGATTGAGATAACTTCTGGGTTTTATACATTCATCCAACTCTAGAAACAGGCAGGAGCAGCCATTAAAGCCTAAACTCTTCCATGACTACACTGCCTAAAATACCTTTGAAACAATACTTACTTGTGTTTTTGGATATCTTTAATTCCACCACTCTGATAGCCCAGCCGTTCAGCCGGATTATCCCTATGAAGGACAAAAATTATGTTTATTAGTGGGAGTTATATATTAGATTTTTAAATGAAATCAATTAACTTATGCAAATAGACAATAATCTATATAAGTAATAGATTTGAATAGTACATATTATCATTAAGATCTTATATCATCAATAGAAATTAATATTCAAAAATGAGTGACCAGCCAATCAAGTACATATGGAAAAACTTTCATAAAAGATTATCATTACAGTATTTAAGGTGGAGAAAGTTGATATACCTGTAAGGAGAGAGTAAAGATAAATATGTAATTAGTTAAATAATTCAGTATGATAAATATTTCAAAATAAATGAGATTAAAATCAAACAATCATTCTGCAGCTTTCTATTCAAAGTCAACATTTCTAAGAAAAAACTTTCTACAACTATGAAACAAAGTACACTGTAACGAATTCATTTGTATGTATTTATTTTTAATATGAATGTTGTTTGGATTAAATTTGTATTTAGAAATATGCGTAACTTGTAGTATCAGATATGTGTTGCATATAACGAATTTGTTATATATTTATTTTAATGTCAACGTTTGTTTCGAATAAGTTTATATTTGAGGGCGTGTCTAGCTTACCGCATTAGTTACGTATGGCGAAACTCCCGCCTATTCTCCAAGATTATAGAACATTCGTGAACACAAAGAAGCAACTTCCGTAACTGGTATATCAGAAGTTTATAGAAAATGTGAATCGCCTATAAAAACAACAGACAACAGAATTCGACTATGAAACTGTTATAACCGTGTAAACTATAAACTGTGATTTTGCTAACTCCTATCAACCAGAAAATATACGACATTTGACCAGGAACAGTTACAGATTTCGAACATCAGTGAATTCCCATCAAACGTTAATATCTTTCCAAGAATATTACTCATTTCTCATCGGACATTAGTGATTTTATGAAAATATTATCTTCAACGGTCCAACAATTCAGTGCCTGACAAAGCTAGCTAGCTAGCTTCCCACAAATTATAGTACGTACAACTCGCTGGATATCAAGGAGACTCTGAACTAAGAAGACAATTTTAGGCTATTTGTAAGTTAGTGAAATTTCTGTTTATGAAACTTGGTTTGTAATAATTAATCATAATAGTTGCTATTGTACATTATGCTACTGTTTATATATATATTAAAATCAATCTTGTTGGCAAATCGTGTAAATTGAATAAAATATCGGCATATTTCTAAACACTGAATCCAAGGTACGTCTCAACTATTAAAAGTTAAATTATTTAATGCGGCTTATGATTATTTCAAATTCTCAATACATAACACATGTACACTGTAATTTCCAGCTAATTCACTATATCAGATACTAAGAAAATAAACATGATTAATAGAACATTGTAAATTTTTTATTGGTGCTTGGTAATATTACTAAAGAGGCTCCACCTCTTCATAAAACACAGTTAGTAGCAAGGGTACCCAACTAATTACCTAGGATAGAATGGTTTGTGTATTGTTAAGCAAAAAGTTGCACAATGTGCTATCTATACTCTGCCCACAACGAGAATCAAAACTTGGATTTTAGCATAATAAGCCTTCAAACTTACAGCTGAGCTACTGGGGGGCCAAGTAGAATAGCCATAGAAGTTTCTTTGTAAACTAGCTGTCCTTTCCTGGCATTGCCTGGTTATTACCTGAACAGAGGACTGATGTTTAGCTATATTTAAACAGAAAGGACCAAATGGAGGTCTTATGTTCTTGATGTTTCTTGTGAATGCAGTCACTGTCTCTGCAAAATTGCAACTCTAGGAGAGTCATGGATTGACAATGAGCAGTTTGTATTTTCTGTTGGCTGTCAAGGCATGTTTCCTTTTCTTGTAGATTCTCACTCTGTCACTTTTGTTGCATACGCTTTGCTGCTTGTGATGGGCAATCAGAATTGCTTTTCTCATTTTCCTGACAATTTACTCTGAGGTACATGATCAGCATAAGAAATGTTTATCATACCTAACTCCCCTCTCAAAATAAAGTGAATAAAAACCAATTTGTTTTGGCAGAATTTTGCAAATTCAACTTGTCTATTTTATAAAAAAGTGAGTCTTGTTTGTCAGTAGACACAACAGCATTTGATGGATGGATTATTATTCTCACACCACAACAGCATCACACCTTTATGAAATACACACACATTTTTCTGATGTAATTTCCACTTAAATCAGACTGATAATCTGGTTTGTCTTCTTTGGAAAAAATTAGATTACAAAGTTTTCACTGACACTAAAAATGTGATGATGTCACAGACATTAAACCTGAGAATGCTGATTCCATACCTTTATAGGCCTACTATTATAGGGGCTGAAAGGTGCAAATAAACAGTCACAAACTTAGCTTTATATATTAGATTCATAATTAAGACTATTTATTTTTAATTGTAATCATTATTTTAGAATTTTAGCAGCTCTTCTGCTAAAAGTTATTACATAACTGTACCAGTTAACTTTAAAATAATATTTTAATATATTCATTCATCTTTCTTACCTGCAAAGCTTCTTAATCAAAGCCATGGCATTTCGTGAAATAAGGCGAGGGAACTCCACAGCATCAATTCCTTTTAGAATAATATTGTAAGTTCTCATAGGATCTGGTCCAGTGAAGGGTGGTCTAGGTAACAATTTTATTGAAATATAATTTTTTTTATTTTAAATATCTGAAAAGCTAAAACATCTAGTTAATTCTATACTTACAATATAAAACATACAAAATTTAGATCATTTCCTTCAAAATAATCAGGATTTTAACAGTTATTTCTTCTTTAGTTCATTTTTCAGTGGCAAAATGTTATATAAAATCTCTAAACAGAATTTTTAACAGCCAGTTCACAAGAAGAGGCACTCATGTTTCACGGACTTTGATTAACTGCACTCTATATATTTTTTCTCAATTAAGAATATATGCTTTCCAAAAGTAAATTAACTTTTGTCTTGAAAATTAGTGCACAGTTGCCAAGTTATGGCCCTGTTAACATTGTTTGTACAAGAACAAAAATAAAAAAATATATATTTTTAGCAAAAGTCTTTTTTTTTGTCAATAAATGTGCATGTAATTTAGGTCAAAGGAATGGATAAAAAACAGATAAAATAAAATATGAGCAACATGGAAATCTCCAGAGTCATTAACATGCAAATGTGTGCTACAAGCTACCTAGGAAATCCAAGCAAGTTTGCATATGGGTGGGTGTTCAATATGATACATAAAATACTGTTCCTTATAAAAAGGAAATCAAAGAATTTTCTAATGAGATGCTCTTTGAATTAGAGGCATATGACAAATACGAGTATAATCTTCCATCAATTTCTGAGATAAAAAAATCATGTGACTCAACTGTTTTATAAGCAGAAGCAGCAGCAAACAGCTTTCACCTCTTGTCAAGACAGCACTGTACAGCAAGGTGAAAATGTTGAACAGTGCAGGGTAAAGGTTTTAGACAGTGATATAGCACACCTTGAAACTGGGACCAATAACATGGCACAAACTTGGAAGTTTGCACTGATATCATCATACTACCCATTGAGGTTTGCACGAGCAATAACACCACCAATTTGTCAACACCAAAAGCTAGACATCGAGGTGTGGCCAAGGTGCACAAAAATGCTCAACTTTACCATTTCATATAGAAACTTTAGCATTTCAGAGTTAGTCATTTGATTGAAAGTAAATCAACCTAAACACTGATGAGCCATGACCACCAGCAAATTTGAGCAAACATCTCACTGCTTCATAGCATATATATGGTGACTTGTAAGCTTTGTACTTTGGAGGTCTAGTTTGTAATTTTGTTTATTCATTTCATCAGTAGTTTCTCTATTATGCGACACCAGTAGCTAATAAAGCCCCTCCCATACATTTGGTACTAAACATACTTTTTTTTTTTACTTACATTGGCATAAATATTTGGTCTTGAAACTCAAAACCAACATATAATGCCCTTTAACATTCAAGTACACTTTTATATCTATCACATCCTGGTCATGGATATTGCTCTGAAAACGTGCTGACCATCTAGGTCTCCATGACCAAAAGTGTATAAAAAATTTTCGTAATGTACTCTTCATATTATATATCAATATACCAACTAATACAATTAACACAAGTTCCACAAACTTGTATAAAACTATACAATAAATCAACTTTTCAGAAGTCTGTAAATCATGTAAAAAACCTTTTCTAGTAAGTTGGCTGATAAAAATCAAAGAGCTTTAACTAAATTAATAATTCAAATTATTATTCTTTTTTTTCAGATAATTTAATGTCTAATGATGAGTAAACTTAAACAATATATTTACTTACGTCCCTGTTAGCAACTCAAACATGAGAACCCCAAGAGACCAATAGTCAGCTGAAATGTCATGACCACGGTTCAGTATTACTTCTGGAGCAACATATTCTGGAGTGCCACAAAAAGTCCAAGTCTTCCTTCCTGTTGTTAATTTTTTAGCAAAGCCAAAGTCCACCTGGAAAAATGTATGATTTCATTGACACTCTTAATGTAACTCTTTCTATTCCCCCCTATTCAATATTTTCAAGTTATAATATATTTTTTGTAAAATAAAATCACAGCAAATGCAAATCTGGTTTACTTAAGGTATGAGATTCTCATTATCAAACTTCAAACAACAAGACTTAAAATGAAAAGTTTCACATCCACAGATTAAAACTACAATATTTTCAACCAAGATATCTTATGCTATTCACATGGAACTGAAATACCAATTTCAGCTTATGTCATAGTTCAGTTCTAGCAACCTGTTTTTAATTTTATTCTATTTCAGTAAGAGTAACTACCTTCTCACTACTGGCTGTACATTGTGAAAGGTGATTTACCTGTGTGAATACCAATATTTAATCTTAGTTTTGTTTTTCACATGAGGATGAACAAAGATTATCTTTGATAGATAGTGTATGTATCACTACCACTGAGTGGAACCTACTTCTACAGATCCTTTTTTCTTTTTACCAAGATACATTTTACCTTTCTCAAATTGTAGTTTGTACCTTGGGTCTTACTTGTCTTTTTTGCATAATGCTTTTTGTTTTTGGCCTTTCTATTTGAAAAGTTGCTTTAAAGTGTCATCCAAAATAAAGAGATGATGTTGTTATACTCTGTCCTTTAGATTTTAAAATTAGAACAACTGTTGTGCAATTATATATATGTAAATTTAATTATAAGTTCTAGTGATTGATTATTTTAACACTTACAGTTAGCTGTCATTACATGTATATCTTGGGTATTATAAGATCACATTCACAACTTCAAAAAATTATAATTTGACTGGAGATGACACTTTGTTTTCACAATTTCAATAAGAACACTCCATTTCTTAAAAATATGTACATTATTTTTTCATCACAGTACTAAACAATGTTTCATACAATATTTTTTATTTTGTAAACCTCTGTCTTCATAATAAAATAATTTCATATGAAACACTGTTTAGTACTGTCATGAACAAAATATAAATATAAGGATACTAACCATCTACAAGTACAATACATACAGAATTTAATATATCTCTCCCTCTCTCATACACTACACACACCATATATATACATTAATCCAATAAAGAACTAACACCAATTACGTACAAGTTTTTTTTTTTTATATCGATTGGAAGGGTGGCATATTGTATACAACAGCTGTCCCAAACTTGTGTTATTTCAGTGCACAGTTAATAACCATAAAATAAGACCAAACTACTGAGTCAAAATGTATACCAGCTTTCATCCAAATCCATTCAGCCATTTTCAAGAAATCTTGCTGACAAACACACATACAGGGATGAAACATAACCTTCATTCACCTTTGGTGGCAGAGGTAATAAACAATAAAATGAAATTAAAAGTACCAAGAATAACAACAAAAGTAATCAAACTATTAACCAACGAAAAAGAATAAAAAGCTCCAGGAAACAATTCATAGTGTGGGAATCTATTGGATATACCTTAATGTTGAATAAATTGAAAAACAGATTTACTTAAATACCTTTGAGTAACATATTGTTTTTATATGTCTGTACTATTTTTGTTAGCAGAAAGTTAAGGATCTTAGTCCCAATTTCGTCTTATTCTTCAGGTTATATATCTATCCGTGTATGTATATGTTTTTTTAAAAATTAATATAACTATTTTTTTTTCACATAGGTATTTAAATTTATTCTTGCAGCATGAGTGGAGTGAAGATAAATGCATTTCTGAGCACCCACAGTTTCCTACGAGTCCTTAGCTATTTTCGAGCTGGTAGCTCTAGAATTATACCAAAATACCAACCATGTCTAAAGTCAAAATGTGTATATTTAACAAGTAAACAGTCAGAAAAAAGTTCCAATGTTCCCTTTCTGTAAAAAAAAAGTTCTGATAATAGGTAAGTAATCTGCTACATAAAAATATATCATTACATTCATACAACCTTCTACAAGCTACAGAAAACAACAGCTTAACTAATCAAACTAGCATAACTGGTTGTAAGTAATTAAAACTACTTAATACTTTCTGAAGTAGGGAGTTTAAAATTAAAGCAAGAGATTTTGCCCCATGTATATAGTTTCCTTTTCAACTAGCTTATCTTAACAAGATATTGCACCTACCAGTTTAACATAACCCTTAATATCAAGTAACATGTTCTCTGGCTTAAGATCTCTGTAGATAATGAGACGAGAGTGGAGGTAGTCAAAAGCTTCAACCACACAAGCTGTATAAAACCTGGTAGTCACGTCATCAAAAATTCCTCTAAAAAAAATTTTGAAATCAAGTTATTTCTCTAGTTAATGTGGAAAATATAGCCATAACATATCTTATAAGTATATCAAATGAATATTAGTACCACACAAGTTTTCTGTAGCAGGTCCTTAAGCACATTATTTTATCTGTAAAACCTGGTTACATAATTATCAGTTCAGCAGAATAATTATGTTAATTGTCAATTATTCTTCTTTTAAATTATTTCATAATATGGTGTACTGGTTTTCTCTTCATAAATTTAAGGTACACATCATCAGGTATTACATGTAAAAGTTACTTACAAGCTCAATTTTAAGTTGGCTATTAGCTATATACCTATGGTATCTATAATTTAATGACAAACAAAATCATCATAATAATTAAGAAACAAATTTATACAATCATTCCAATTACTTTAATGACTTGAAACAACATGCAATGCAATTAACAATGATAAACATTTTTCAATTTGTCAACATATTGCAAAATAAAGTTTCTTTCTTTAACTATGAGGCTTGTATTCCAAATTTCTTTCAAATAATGGGTGACCACAGAAAGGAGCAGGAGAAGCCCCCCCCCCAACATTTCACTAAAAATTGCATGTATTGTGATGTAAACTTAACATTGTAGTTAAACTAAATATTTTTATTAATTTTTATTAAAACTGTAAATTTGTGTTTGCCTTTAAGCACACATAACACATATTCTTTTAGTCTGTTGACTTACACTGTAAAAGCTGATTCCCTACATTGGTATCCCTCCCCTCCAAAAACATTTCTGTGGGTGCACGAGTCAAATATGCCATGAATTAAAATATTAACATTTGTATTGTGAAATAATAACACACACACACACACATGTGTTATTTTGAAATAAAGAATTGTAAGCTAAATTGGCAAAACATTTGAAAGTGCTAACAAAGTTTGAAGTCTGATGAATACTTTTAATATAATTGACTTAATAGGCCAGTTACTCTCTAAATCCTAGAAAAGTTTAAAATTGCAAGAATTTATTTCAAAGTCTGTGCTTCTCTAAATAGTTGATTCAGTACAGAGTAGTAACATAAAAACTGTAAAATATCAAATACTTCTGCTGAAATATTAAACGAAATAACATAATAATATACTATCATGAAATTTCATCCAGTAAAATTCAAAAATAATAATGTATAGACACACACACATTTAGAAATACCCACTCCATTCATATCTACAGTAAAATATTGAACTACAGTTAGCAATATTTATTTATTTCAAATTTGTGCTTTGTAAATTAGTCCATTTTCTTTTAAAGGAAGTGTCCTCAAAGCATGTTTAACAATCCAATAAATATGTTAAGCAATATTTATCTGCATACACATTTCTTCTGAACAACAATGTATCTCATTAACATATATCTCAGGTAACACAAACTATTAAGCCATTTAATGCATATAGACATAATAATTTTAAACATTGTGAACAAGAATTTATTATAAATCTTTAATAAACAAAACTTTTTTCACAAAAGCTCGTTATTGGATGAATAATACCTGCATACAATTTTTTTAGATCAACAGATACACATTTGGAAATTAATAAACATTAGTATGCATTTCTGTATATCGTGAAAAATACCTTAGTTCATTCTTGCTAAAATGTTTTTAATTTTTATAGATATTGCGAAACTTGCATTAAAATTTTACTTTTTTATCAACATGTATATCTTGTTATTTTCTTCTTGTATGCTTAAAGCAAGAAAATAATCTAATTGTTTATACATTGCATAAGGGAAACTCCCTAAATTGCAGATCATTAGTGTAAATACAGATATAAAAAAGACAGCAATAAGTCTGCTTTACACAAACATTTTACTTTATGTTAAAAATATATCATTTATAATTGTTTAGATACATTAAGAATTACAAAAGTAAATTATATGCTAATCAAAATAGGATCAATAACAGCATGAACTTATTCTATAATTAATGCTACTATAATCATAACACCAAATATACAAGTATAGAACAAAAATTCCAAACCAAATTATGCCAAACACAGGTGTTAATACAAAAATGCAAGAATGACAACTGCATACAACAGACATTTCATGAGATTCTAAAAGTTTGACTTATTAAACAATGTCCAGACAGTGAAAATTTTCAAAAGAAAGCAGAAGCTTATCAAATCTCTGCTATCATACATAAATTCAAAGATGATAGCAGCATCTAAATAAATGTATGTTGAACTATAAATGTTAAAAAATAATGTAACATGAGAAAACTTAGAAAAATTAGCATATAAGCTTAATATAATAGAAAAGTTTCACTGAAGAAATAAATAATTACTATAAATTTTAATCTGATAATAAAGTATGTGCAGGAGACGTAACTGGCAAGTGAGAAACAGCTGCATTGACAACCTGGTGGGTAACTTACAGTTAAGATTTTAACATACTTCTACAAAAGGTGATTCACATGCAAATAAAACAAACATAATACCAAATCTATGACTTAAAATAATCTGAGTTCTACTTGACATACTATAATTCACATAAATGTGCATAAAGCAAAGACCTACCTATCTCTTAAAATTGTCCAGAGTTCACCACCTAAGCATGATTCCATCAACATGTAGAGATATTTAGAATCCTTGAAAGTTTTGTATAATCTGTAACGAAAAATTATCTTTTTGTTGCAAATACAAAAATTAAGGGATATAAATCATAAGTTTTTTTCACTGTACTAATTTGTGAAGAAAAAATCAAGTGTGACTCTCAAGTGTATTAGTTTTAAATTTTTCAAATATTTCTAGTAGTGTAAAGTAACAAATTTGCAAACACTGTTTCAATTTAGATAGAAAGTCTTCTTTGAACCAATACAAATTTAGTAATATATTGAAAAAAATGGAATTAAGAGTAATAGACTTTGGACAATATTGCATATTTTTTGTAGTGGTAGATTAAACTAAATAACAAGGTTTGGGTCAAGTTAGAATATACTCATGTAATAGTGTGTTTGTGACCATGTGAGCAAAAGTCTAATAGATTAGTTAACTCTTTCAATACAGGCTCGATCCCATGGGACCATTTTGCTTGTATATAGTTTTAAAACTAACTTTTAATGCAATGTATGTATCTTCACAAAATTTGGCAGACTTTTAGTCCACATTACAATTATTTTACACACAAAAAAAAATCATTTTTTTTAATGAAGTATTTTTACTAAAGTTTTGTCCATGAATATATCGAGTAGTTGTTTTGAATAGTCCATGTGCAAAGAGATTTTCATGTTCAGATTAAAAATTATTTTCTTCATCTCAAAAATCTCAGATTTGATTTTTGTATTCTCTAAAACCTCCTAAATACATTTCAAATGTTTTCACTAAAACTTTATATCTTATCTGTCATTTTCTCAACCCTAACTCTATATAATGTTGGTCAATTTAACCGACCTCATAACTACCAAAAAAAAAATAATGGAAATAAATCTAAGTTACCCTTTTTTCTTTCTAGAATGACTTCATATTGTAACATGAAACTACACTCGTTTATCCTAAGTACCTTTAAACTCATAACAGTATACATCTATTTATAATTGCCCTTTGAACCATGTCTAACTACTATTCACGTCACTATAAATTGTAAATCACATGGGGAATGTGGAGGTCATGTTACCCACAACCTGTTGCGTGCATGCTGCCTTGTGAAACATTTTTATTATACTAATGGTAGTAATGCACTAAATTTTTATTTAATTAAATAATGCACCAAAGAACATAAACCAATAACATGCAAAAAGTAACAATTTCCCCTAACTCTCACTACTTTTCTGGCTTTCTACTTACAATAAGAACTGTTACAAATTCTTCCAAGCTAGTCATTATTTTCCCCATGGGAATGATGCTTGTACTAACAGTGAAATTGACAATTCTACATTCAGAAAACATTATACAATACATCATTTGATAGATGAAAACCTTGGCTTTCTATTGGTTATAGATAATATAGAATTAAACATAAGAGAGAACTTTTAACAAATCCTGAATGAGAGGATGTGACAGGTGGGTGCGGCAAGAGCGGTCAGATTTTCTATTTGATAGCTCTGTAACTACACAAAATTGAAGGCTATAAAAATAATGGTTTGTCTGAGCAATGACGATTTTATAGTGAGTAACTGATGTTTAATTTCATACTTATTGGAGGGATGGTGGATAAAATAGAGAAGAGAAAATGCATAGAGAAAATGTGTCACACTAAGGGAAATTCAGAATTTTTCTAAATATTGCCATACATAATTAAGAACTTAAAACTTATGTTCTATTAAAATATGAATTATTAGCTAAGATTTTATGCTATACTAATTGGTATAACACAAACAAAAAGTACATTAATGAAATTTTAAATGTAAGTCACTAAAACCTCGTGACATGCGAAGTAAAGGATGCCCATTGCATACACAATTAACAGGCTTGCACATTACTTCTTTTCTCAACATAAGCAAAAACGTTAATTCATGAAAAATGCAGTTTCTGACTGCTTAAACATGGTACTCATAATTTTGTATATTTAGTAAACTGTTGTATAATTGTGAATTTCTTCCTAAATATTAATCTTAGATTTATTTGCTTATATTTTAAAGATCTTATAAGATTAGATTTAATTGGAACATGTTCAAGAGGTAGTAAAGGAAAGTGGTATTTTTGTTGTCATCACTATAAAACAATAGCTTGCTAACAGCAAAGCTTTGTACTTAAAACAACTACCTCAAACTTGAAGTGGCATGTTTAAATATTTAAAATTTTGACTACCATGAAAATAAAGTTTGGCAGTTTAAGATATGTAATATAGCTTTATAACTGAAATGCTACCTTACTTTACTATGAAGTCACAATTAGCCTCTTCCATGATGATCTTCTCTGACAAAATATGTTGCTGTTGTCGTGTTTCTACTATCTGAGCTTTCTTCATCACTTTCAAGGCAAAAGACCTAGAAGGATTGTGGGATATTTGGACCTGAAATAAAATAACATGGAAGAAATTTTCACTACATATAACAATAGGTTATTTTAACCTGCAAAAACCTATCTAAATAATCAGACGCCCAAAAATGACAATAAAAGGCTGGAAGTAACTACCAGAAATGTACTACCATCTACAAATGTGCAATAAATATGATTAGTGAAGAATAATTTGAAATATATTGTCAGTCTATGACCATATCTGTGGTATTTGCAAATAAAATTGAAAGACTTGTGTATAAAGTAAGAAACAAAATATTTGTTGTATATTAATAAAATGTGCCAAGCTTTACTTGAACACTGGTCAGCTTCTGAACTCTAGTGTAACTTTTCTGAGAGCTGGAGCTAATAAAAAGCAAGAGAATTCTGTATTTATTCCTATTACAACTAGTGAGCACCTTTCAGGTGTCAAGTGCACACCTACTTATCAAATTTCAAAATTTAAGTAAAAATATTAGTTCCATCTCCATTTCAACAATTTTCACTCAAACATACTTAGAAATTAATATTTTTTCATTATGCAACACTCATTTAGAGAAATCTGTTAAGAAAAATATTCAAACTTAAATTTCTTCACAGCTACGAAAAATCTCACCTATATGGAATAACATAAATATTGATTTTGTTAGAATTTTTCTGCCAATCCCAGATCATAGGTTTATATTTGCAATAGAATATAATTTCTTGAGAACACAAGTCTTCATGTTTCATTTTCCCACAATTTTTTCCCCTTTCTTTGACTATATTGGTAAAGCTTCTCATTCCTACCATTTCATGATCTTACACCATGTGATTTGAACAAATACTAATGAAGCTGATTTTCAAAAATAGTTACAAAAAAAGTTTAAATACCACTGAATAGAGCAGATTTTAAACTATTTATATCAATGTTAAGTAAATAAAGCAATGTGAGAAATAATTTATGGTTTCATGGGTAACTGACAAGTCATGGCTCCTGCAAGGAAGAACAGCAGAATGTAAAATGTAGATATTTGGAAAGAAAACACATATATGTGAATTTCTTTACAGCTTCTTTAGCTGTTCTTTTCATTCTTAAAAATATTTTTTATGCTTTTGATTCTAAACTATGTAAATTTTCTTCTGTGACAAGACATCAGGTAAGCTTAGTTAAGTTTAACAAATATGATAAACAACAGACAAATGTTCCAATTATTCAAATTCTTATTTACTGAATATTACTGTTAAGTTTATCATATTAAAACAACATGCATAAATAAAACAGTTTACTATTTATGGAAAAAAATTCATATTCATTACAAAAATTGATCTCAACTAAGAATACAGTTAGCAAAAACATAAGCTTAACTTGATGCCATTTTCAAATGGACAAGTCCTAAGACAACAATAAATTTTTATCAGTTTATGTAGTGGTTTCTATGGTTTATAGCCAGAAATGGTGAGTATACATCTACTGGCAAAATAAAGATTTTCAAGAAAAAGGTCTCAACAAAATTTTGGAAATTTAAAAATTTAAAAGTTATTGAAAACTAAATCAAATTATATTAATTTTTTTTTTAAGTCAAAGCTATATAAACATATATATCCTACATTTCAGGCAATTTTATTCAGTATTTCAATTTTATACAAAAAATTAAAATATATCAGTGACATACTTCTGGTTCAGAAAGGGTTAATGCAACCAAAATGGATCATGTCAATACTACTCTGTCAAGTCAGACCAAATTCCTAGTTCAGCATTCCACAATCCTAGATTACCTACATCAGTGATCATTACCACTTTTACTTATTCAATGGAAGATTAACTCCCAACTCGTACTAATTTATAAAAAACCTACATTCTAATACCCTTACAGTCAGGTATGACACGCATTCCAGGGGAGCAATGACACAGGAAGCATAGTCAAGAAAGTATAACCTCTATAGAACTGCCATTGTTACCTCAACTGGCCATAAGGAATAATGCAAATTTATTACCACTGAAATCTTGTTCACAAGGATCTCTCCACACACACACAAAAATTATCTGAAAATATCTAAACAAATATATTTTTTTTGAGTAGGTTTTCCCCTGTTATATATCAATCAGATTTATAAAACTCAATGAAATTGAATCTAAAACTTCACTTCATTTCCATTGTATTCTAAAAATAACAGCTGGAAAGGAGGCCTTATTATTTTAACTAAATATAAATTTTATTAGTTTTCCTGGGTATAAGCATTAATGCATTTTGAGTATGATTTCAGGCAAAACAAAACAATTTCACATTTTTAGTGATCAAAATTAATAGATATATTTTGTTACATTGTTTCACATTAAAATGGGTTTAGATATTTAGATGAAAATTTCTATTACAATTTTAATCATTGTTACTTAGGTAATCTTATCATCAAAAAACTTGATCATAGATGTACATGGATATATGGAACTCAAAGATACCTTATAAACAAACATGATCAATAATATGCCATACATTATATATAGAAGCTAAAGATATAATTCATGAGGGTAAAATGTTTTATGATATTAATGCAAGATACTAGCAACTAATACAAGTGCTTTATTTTTATTTCACTTAAGGGGAAAAATTCTGAGGACCACATAAATTAAATTATTTAGTTATCTTTTGGGTGTTTAAAAACATGTTGGTCTTGCTGGTAGTGTCATTAGTCTAATGCTACATTGACACAGTTTTATTTTTGCCCTTTGGTAGATAAATTTAAACATTTAAACCCAAAAATGGAAAACGAAATGTAATGCAAATTATTTCCATGATAATATGTTTGTTTCATGTTTAAAGAATTAACTACTCCATTGTCCATATACATTTATAGATAGATAGATAAGTCCAAATATTGCAGCTGAAAATGGAAGACTCAGTAGGTTTTGATGATATGAAGGATATTTTATCATCATACTTAGAAAAGTGAACCTGTCATTTTTATTTGACAGATAATCAAATTTCATTGTTCAGGAGGTTGTATTACATTTTTTTTTTTTACCAAATCAATAACCATAGGTTGGAATTTATAAAGCTTGTTATAATAAGACAACTGAGCCATAAAAAGACAAAAAACATTGAAGAGTAGCACTGGCTTCTGAATCAGTGTTCAAAGTAGAATTCCTCTTGCTAAATGACAATTCATCATTGAAGCCCTTTCATTGTAGTAATGTTGGTCAAGTGTTTTCTTTTCAGAATACTTTATTAATTGATTACATAAAATCAATCTGTGTGCTTTACATTAGAAGTAATAAAATAAGAATACATGGTATAAATATTTAATGTTTGTATCTAAGTATCAAGGATTATTAAACATTTATATTTCCCACTCAAGTTACAAAATGATTAGATTGTAGCTAAATCAGTGTTACTTTCATATCATTCAGGCACCTTGGAGTTATATTATTCTGTGCAATTTTAAGTAACTGTAGCTGCTAATCACTCAGTAACTTTGGAGAAAATAAATAGAAAATTTTTGTAATATTGTAAATATAAATCTGTCTAATAACTGTTCTAAAATGGCTATTAAAATATGCAAAAAGATATAATGCAAATGCAGACAAGTTCTTTTTATGGTAAAATGCATCAATGTTAGCATAAGAGATATCTCCTAGGAAGCATTTTCTCAATAAAACATACAGTAAGATGCCAACTAGTCTTCATATTCTTTTTAAAAAAAATTAAATGTTTTATGATACAAAAAAATTCAATTTGATGCACAACTAAACATAAGACAGATAAACAAAGGATATATCTTTACAGCATATTTCAAAATATTGTAAAAAATAAATTTCTATTCTATTACTGAGGCACTCGTACTACATCCAGGGGCATAAGGATTGAATGAAGGGCTTGAACTAATAAATTATATCAAGAATTTATATTTATATGCATAATTTATTTCCCAAAATATCAATAATAGTTGTTTTATCAAGTGGTTCACATGTTTTTAAAAGATTTTGTATAGAAACTGCTTTGTCTTCACTTACCAGCTCAACTCGTCCAAAGCCTCCAATTCCTAATGTCGCTACCAATCTAAGGTCAGTCAATTTGAGATCTGCAAACTCTTGGTTAATCCTAAAAATTAAATCAATTCCTGTCAAAATAACTATCTAACGTATAATTTCTGTTTTTATTTAATTCACACAACAAAAAACTCAGTGGTAATTAGTTGAAAGAAAAAATTAGCACCTTGATCTGTTTAATAAATATTTTTGTGAATGGAAAAAGACAAATCATTCCTGGCAGTAACACAAATGTATAAACTCATTGTGAATTTGTACATTAAGGCACAAAATAAAATATCTTATTACCAATTACCATTTCTATTAATGTTGTATGAGGTGATGAATACAAGACTATATTTGAAAGATTTCTGAAGGACTACAATTATAACTAGAATTAGCCTAGGATTAAATGCATGAAAAAAACATATACAGTAATGAATACAAAAACATGCATTGAAGTTTTGTGCTATTAAAAAAACTAAATATTCTAATGGTGTACATGTTTCTCTGGAAGGTAGCATTGGTCTTTCTTTTTCCATAAGAATATTCTTTTTTCTTTAATTTACAAAAACGCTTCTAAACTGGCTTTTTCACTGCACATCTGAGAATAACTTTCTGACTAGTTTCTACATTAATATACCAAAAAGGTTTTTAATGTACAGATATATACACATAACTAAGTGTTCATAAATTATATTACAAAACTTCCATATGCTATTTCGTGTACTTAAAAATAACTACTCAAATGAACATTTTTTAATTAGACAAATTGTTGTAATACAAATCATAAAATGGAAAGTAATAAGTTGCATAATTCTGAATTTTAAAACTAAATTTTTATTACAATATATGTATGGAATGAAGAATTAACAAACGAAAATCACATCAATGGCTAGATGTTTCAAGGCTGGTTTTTTTTTTTCATACTCAGTAAAATACGTATGCCAATTTGTTGGACCTAATGCAAGTACGTCTTAACAATTAAAAAATCGTTTTACTACATGCATGTGTTAGTTTTTTTCAAAGTTTTTATTTTATCACTCACAGAAACAATCTTTATACCTATAACAAGTACACCAGACACAGTTTTTAATATAAAAACTATTATGCTAGATTAGACAACTGTAGTATACAATCTATAAATAAAATAAACCAATGAATGAAGTATATTAAAAGCATATCTTTAAACAAAATGTCAGAAAATTAATATAAAGTACAATAAATTAAAATCAACAAATTGGACTACCTACCATTTAGATAGCTAAAAATAAAGATTAATGCACTGCTTTTATCTTAACCACCACACTTACAGCCAGAAATAAAAAATATATATTAGTCTTATTTTAGTCACCATTCTGAGACAAAAATGAAAGATAAATACACTATCTTTACCATTGTTGTGGTTAGAAGCCCAAGTCGAATTGTTTATTAGTTAATAATTTTTATGGACATTAACTACCAAATAATTAGTAATACAAAATATAATATAAACAAATTAGTATTTAATAATAGAAACATAATTTGTAACTAATTAATAAGTAAACTTAGGTGATTGTGTAATAGCTACTAACCATGACAATGGTTGATATCTGGTCATCAAAATCTTGCTGTAAGCACATTACTATTATCTAAACCAACAATCTTAACAGCCAAAAATTAAAAATGAACATACTTTATAACCTCCTCAAATACAAACAAGAAAAAATATTAGCACATTACTTTTACTTCACTCACCATCATGATAGTAAGAAAAACAAATTAACATATTACTCTTACCTCAGCCACCATCCTGATAGCAACAAAAAAATTACAATCTAATAAGTCCCATTAATAATTGTATAATAACTACTTCTCATAAAACCCTCTATTGTTACTTAGTTGTGAGAGTTACAAGATCTTCAAATATTTGATTTATAAATCATATATTTTTAACAATAGTAAATCAAGTGGATTTTGATAGTTATTTCCTCTATTTCAGATTGATTTTTATTTGTGCACACCTTATCTGGTAAATTATCTATTTACAAATGAACAACACGAAATTTTTCAGTATTCTTTACACAAAGAAGCAGGGGAATACATAAAAGTACAAACATAAATAATCTAGTTAATTTTTAAGAAACAATTATGGATGTAATGGCTTTATACCATTTAAATGTCAATATTTACAATGCTCATTTGAAAATACATCTTATGCGCTTGTTTTTAGACATTCATGCTAAACTACTCAAAGGCAATTTAGGCTTGCCATCCTAATTTTCAAATGATAGACTAGATGGAAAAATGTAGCTATTCAACAGCACAAATCTCGGGCTACTTTGTCTGACCAAATAGTGGGATGTGACCATAACCTTTATAATGCATCCATGGCCCACAGTGTGAAGAGCCATTTGTTTTTTAGCTGTTGTTATTGTAATAGAACACAAACAATGGACCCATAGGCTCACAGTGTAACACAATACTGGACCAAGCTCAGTCCAAAAACAATAAAACAGGTCTTCTTAAATCTGCAATTATTTTGAAAACTAAAAGACATTAATACATTATATAAATAATATATATACACATGTTCAACCACTGTAATGTTTAGGATATGTTACTATAAATAATATAGATACATTTACTTTTTGCTTGCAATTAAGTTTATGATGATTAAATTAACATTACAATGAAAAAAAAGTGTCACTAACTTACTCACGCAATATTTTAGAGAAGTTGTGCTATATTACTGTTGAACTAAAATTTCCGGAGAATCGTATAGAGGGTAAGAGATTATTTCTCCTTTATATTATTCTGTTTAAAGAATCAGCATTACATAATTAATAATGTGGCATTAAAAAAAAATTACTAACATTCTACGTGCCATAGCTTCTTCTTCATCATATCGCTTCTTCTTTATCTCATCAATATTGCTGATAAGCTGATTAAAAGACCTAGAGCAAAAGAATAAATTACAATGAAGTAAACATTATTTTGTGATTCATTTAAAAAGAAAAAAAGAAATGTTTTGTTTACACATAATAAAAGTACTAAATTTACTTTTTCTTAAACTGAAAATGTATTTTGAATAATACCTTCTCTCACACTACAGCTACTACTTGACTGCCAGGGTTTCTTCCTTTGCCCATCTAAGCACTGGTCTCATTTTTCTCACTTGCTCCAGTCTTTTATAACCCACTTAATTGCCCTTGGTAATATTTGTCTCACAACTCTCCACTTATGTCAATGCATCCTGTATCCTGGTATTGTATATAGCACCTCAGCGAGATAATGTTATCACTTTTTCAAAACTGACTCAATCTGCAGTCTCTAGCATCAGCTCTTAGTAAATAGTGTGTGAAAGGAGGTAAGTATTACTGGAACTACATATTTGATTTAAGAAAATGTTACCTTCTAAAACATACTTATCTCTTCTCACACTACAGCTATAATCCCACATTGAGAAGGAGAAGGGGCCAGTGAGGGCATTATCCATACAGAAAGCATCTGCATAGATCATGGATGTGTCAACAGAAGATTGGCACCCTAATGGGGGAAACGCACTACATCCAGAACAGGGATACTCTTAGCCTCAAAACTTAATTCCTATACTGTGGGTGCAACTTTACATGATTTATTACTATTGGCCAGGCCTCAACCAGATAGCCAAGGTTCCAATCCTCAGGGTTGGAATTACAGGGCCATGGTCTATATCCCATGTTGATGGCTAGGGCAATTGGACCACAATATATGTTTCTGTGTGTTTATATATATATATACACACACACATACACTTATGGGTAGATCCCAACCTGTAGTCATAGAGTGATGCATTCCAAGACTTGGGTATCACGACAAGATTGCAAACAGCACCGAACTGGACAAACCTTCTTCTCAACCTAAAGAAATCCAAAAGGCAATACTCCCACGCTCAACCTGAGGAAACAGAACTAATCCAGTCTGGAATTATGAACACTCATCCTCACTCCCCAACTGTGTGGGTAAGGTCAATTCCTCTTGTTCCTGGAATTATGGGGAGGATATAGAACAAACTGTGCTCAACCAAGGACCCAGCATGGGACCACTCTGCATTCAGAACCACATGAAGACAATTGACCCTTATCCATGAACAATGTACTGAATAAATATTGATCAAAAAGAAGGGCCATGCTCAACCCAACTTGATAGCCGTGCGTCAGATATTATGAATAGGCTCCTGTGGAGAAATCCTTGCCTTCAAAGACAGCCCAGAATAAGCAATATGGATCAATTTCGCACACCCACTTCATCAATGTAACTGGGGGTAAATCATAGGAAACTGAACAATCCCAAGTCTGGCATCTCTAAAGGAATTAGTGCAGGCAACAAAACCTTCACTAGACATTAGAATGATCAAATTCTGATGGATCACAGATGTGTGAAATAGTGATCAGATGAATCGGTGAGATTTATCCCCTTCCCTGGTTGACAGTGTCTTAGGTAAGAAGAAGTGGTCAGAGGACATAGGTAGAATGAAAAAATGGTCTTGTGGACAATCAGCCCAAACCACTCTGACTGGCAATGTCTGTAGATTAACAGCAATGAAAAACAAACCTTCAGGTAAAGGTGATACATGGCCTATGAAACTAAGGTCAGAAACAGGTTTTGAGAAATGGCATGTAATGTAACCATAATATACCAGTTATGTAGCTGGAATGGTCGTTTGGAACAAAGGACTCAAAATGACTTGACGAATTCAGAGAGTACTGGTGACTAAAAGAATTTTTGTATACAGAGCAACTGTCGAAGATGCAAAATCCTTGCCAAAGAGCCAGGTCAAAAAATGAGTTATGGTTGGCACTTCTGATCAAAATGGGTTCAACCTCCTCTCAATACACCATTGCTGATATGTGAGCCATTTCCTTTGATAAATGTCTTATCACAGGACTAAGCAAAGACAGACAGATACATGGGAACCTTAGAAATTAAACCCCAATGCCATGAAAAAGTCTGCATAACCTCCATGCCATAAGCTTGAGCTTCTGGATAGCCAGATGTACCATGTCAGATCAAGGCTGCCTCCAAAGAGAAAGTGGAAGAGATGGCACTTTTGTTTTGAGTATTGAATGGTAGTCGATACAGCCACCTTATACAGAGTGATTGTGAAATATGCAAACTCTTGCCAAAGAGCCAGGTCAAAAAACTGAAGGTACTGTAGAAGCAAAAACCAGGGTGTAGCTGCCAATCCAGTGCTATCAACAGGACCCAACAATGAGTTGGAGCAAATCATAGTGAGTACCTTGGGTAACATATGAATTGGAGGGAAGGCCTAGAGTTGTAATTCCATCCCATCCTGATGGAATGCATCCATCGCCAAGACCCAAAGGTGAGAACAAACTAGTTAGTGGTTTTAATAAGAGGCCAACCCACCAATCATCAGTAATTCGAAATGAGAGCCAATCTAACAAAACCTTGTGATACAGCATCTGTTCTGTTGGGAGAATCTGTTTGGGTCAAGACAATTGATCTGTTACAGCAGTCATCACCCGTGGATCATGGTAAAATAGTATTGTGATATGATAGGAGTGGTACTGAGGAAGGAGATCCAAGGTTCGAAAACAAGGAGCCCTGGACCAAGTGCCTCCTTGATGGGAGAAGCCAACAGAATAAAAGACAGTACAGGAAAATGCAAATCAATTCTTTCCAGAATCACCCTAAATTGTAGCCTCATATCACCCAGAGGAACACCACTGAACCGAATACATGCCTCCATCTCACTACGAATAAGAAATAATAATCCGTGAATTCGTACTGTAAATCAGATTGCCAATTTAATTTTTTAAAATGAAAATCAACTAGGTAATGCAGAGAATGCTCAAAGTATCTCCGAATGATCGTAGCACTGAGAAACCCGTTAGTGATGCTTTGTCGAGAAAAAGTGATAACATTATCTGAATGAGGTGCTTATATACAGTACTAGGATAGAAAGTGCATTGATGTAGGTGGAAAGTATCACAAGACAAAAATCGCCAAGGGGAGTTAAGTGGGGTATAAAAGACAGGAGCAACTGAGAAAAAATCAGACCAATGTTCAGATGGGCAAAGGAAGAAACTCTGGCAATCGAGTAATAGCTTTAATGTGAGTGATTTGGAAGAATTCATTTCCAAATCACAAGATAAGCCAAATTATACTATAAACAGAGTCGTTAATATTGTGATAAATCTTTCATTGTCAGTAACATGCCATAACTCTACTACAATATTTCAATATAAAGTGACACCAATTTTATATTTTTTACTTAACAAAGCTACTTAAAAGTGAAAAGTGGAGCATGACAGAAGCTTTCTAATGTCAAAAATAACATTGAATTAAAAACATTATGCATCAAATTCACCATCACAATGCCAACTCTCATATTTAACTAGAATATGTCCAAAGTCACATTACAATATTTCCTTCCACATGTCATGCAACCCTTAAGTGAATTTGTATGCACATGAATTCATATCTTTACAGATCAAAAAGTATATAAATTTTAGATTTCTATATTTTTAGCCAATTCAGGTTACAAAGTACATTGAGAACTTTGATTTTTTTAACACTTTCTAAAAAATAAAAACATCACTTTCAACTCTTTCTACTATTCCAATCCAACTCAGTTAAAGAAACCTCTTCATAAAATATTTCTTTCTTCCATCAGCTGAACAACTTTGTCAAGTACATTTGACTTGTGGTTGTTGTATAGACACAGTTTGTTTCTTTTGATAGGTATTAACTTAGTGAATTCTGAGTATGGAGATGTGTAAATTGTTTTCATCCACTTAAATATAAAATTTAGTAAACTTTCTTGTTTCTGTAATTTTTAAGCCTGCAACTGTTGTCTTCAATAATCAATGTATTTATTGGTTATCAAATTTTTACTTTCAAAAATGTATGTATAGATACTTATTAGTAAGACACTGGAGTTCAAATTATTTTTTTTTTAAACATAACACTTGCAACAGACATGGAAAGAAGAACACAAAATAATAAAACAATGGCTACAGTAATTAGGAGGAACCAAAATTAAAAAGAACTAAGAAATGTTAAATGTTCCTTAAACTTTAAAGATATTGCATGTGTCATAGAAAATGAAAATCAAGTAGTTTTTAGCATATTATTGGGGTATTATTCTTGTGTATTTAACATCTGAACCAACTTTACTAATTTTACTATTCATGAGCTTAATGTTAAAAAAAAAACTGAATTTGCTGAATTAAAATGTCATTTTCACATCTAATTTGATCTATATTTCATGTGAAAGCATTGTACTAATAAATATTAGACTTTAAGACCTAAATAATTTTGGTGTTTTCTCAAGATCTGGATATTCAGGTACTTTTCCCAAACCGTTAGAATTCTCAAGTATATACAAAAATGAAACTTTCCCATATCTGGCATACTTAGAATGGTTCAATTCCCTACCTTATTCTACATCTGGAATCAGAATGATGAGATGCCATAAACATTCCTGGAATCTTTTAACACCTCATGTAACTTTTTAAATGCAATTCAATACTATTTCAGAGACAAACTGCAAAAAGTATTTTACTTAAATGCAAGATATCATGAAGACACATATCAAGTGGAGTTAAATAAACAAATATGATATAGCTTAATCATTTAATAATACACTTTGGTATCTGTGTATCTCATACATTGGCACAGGTCTATTAATATTAATCTCACTTGACATCAAATATTTATTTTAATAGAAGAATAACTAGCAGATATCATTTTGTAATGTTTAACCATGAAATCTGATTTTAAGCCAAGAAATACTTAACCTTAAAAATGACTTATTAGAAAAGAACTAAATTTGAAAGAAAATGTTTTAAGATTAAACAGACTATGAGCATTTTATTAAGTTATGCCATAGAATGCTACAAGATGAAAAGATAAAACAAATGTTCACAATATGAATGAAGTAACTTTGACTATAAATATCAATATATTATGTATAAAAATACGTAATAATAATAATATGTATAAAAAAAGATAATTTTATCTGTTTGGCATGGTAGCATGTATGTATATATACTTATCACATGATGAGATAATGTTATTGAAGCTCATTCAGTCTTACTTATCAGGTTTTCTTTGAAAAACTTACTCCCTGTCTATAACTAAACAAGTCACTCCCTCAGGATCATCAGCAATAATGTTAGCCGTACGCACATCTTCTCTATAGAGAAAAATATTACTGTTATTATTAATCACAAATGTTTTTGAAGCAGCATTCACAGAATACATCAAAATATTTTAGTTATGTTAAAGTTCAAATGTTAACTTTATAATGATAAACAACTGCATTTGCTTATATTCATACAATTACATTAACCTGTTGTGTTGATTAACCAAACCATTCACACAACTCCAGTAGCTATAGCTTCATGTTTATTAACCACAGATAGTTAATAAAATAATAAAAAATAATTATCATTTAGTCATCCCACTCAGGTCCATTAATTGTTCTTATTTAGGTAGTATGGGTAGTAACATATAATATATAAACCTGACAATAAAACCACTGTTTATGTTGACTATGGAAAAACAACCATTCTTACCCTTGAAGAGCCTTTTCACCAAAAAAATCTCCATACTCCAAGCACCGGATAAATCTTTCTTCATCTAATTCTGAAACCTTCATAGTTACTTTCACCTGAAAACACACGTATGTATGTGTAGCTTTAATAAACTTGCTAGCAGCAAATCTATATACTTTTGACAAAATCATTTTTTCACCATGTCAGTCATTGACACACCTAACTTTAAAATCGAATAAAAATTAAATACCAAAGCATAAATACATAGTTAACAAATGATACAATAGACCACTGTACAGATGAGAAGGCAATAAACATAAAATGCAACAGCCTATTGAAAACTTGAATTTCTTTTACATGATCCATAACTCTGGATGAAATGTCAAGATTGATCACAGAACAAACATTGAGAGATACAGTACAAGATATTTCGGGTGACTTTTTGTTAACCAACTTCATACCACCAAGATCTATTCAATAATTCATTCAGAATTACAGATGCTTTGAAATATATCCAAGCTTTCAATAAGTTGTTACAGTCCATGCAACAAAATGGTCAGTGTGGGGAATAAGCTGGCTCATTGGATAGAAAAGTGGCTGGATATATCATGTAATAAAGCAGAAATTGGTTATAAATTAAGTTTAGTCAAACAAGATTAATATCAAAATGGGGTGCTTCAGAGGTCAGTGTAAGAACATTTACTCTTTTTGATTTAATAACTTAGACAAAACAAACAAATATCAATAAATTATTTAAATTTGCTAATAGTATTGATGTCTTGGATGTTTTTGTCTGTAAAGAAGATGCTGCTAATTTACAAAAGGTTATAGATCACCTGATGAGTTGGCAGATGTCTTTCAATTATAATAAATGCAAGATAATGCTGTCAGTTATAATAAGTTGAATTACAAGTATAATTTTGGTGAGAATAACCTTAACAGTGTTATGAAAGAAAAGGATATTGGTGTTTTGGTTGACCAGCCTCTTAAATCCACCCATGTTTCTAGTGGTAAGACAAAAATAATTTTAGGTTGTATCTATGGAGGTATTGAATATAAATCTATAGAAATTATAATCTTATTGTATAGGCTATAGATTAGACCACATTTGGAATATTGTGTCTAATCTTGGGCTCCTTACTTCAGGAAATACATTGAATTATCTGTTGAAAAGGCAACTAGGATGGTACCTGGGATACAAAAATGGTCATACAAGAACAGATTAAAATCTTTGAATAACTCAAATTCCCTTATTCAAAACTGTGTAAAGTGTGCCAATACAACTACCTGACAGCTACATCATAAACAGAGACTAATATCCAATCATGAAGAGAGCTCAATACTGGAAACAGTTCTTTCACATCAAAATACATAAAACAACTCTCAGCCAAAACCAAGGCCTTGAAATCAGCAATATTTGAATATACACTCTCCCTCTTTCTGAAACAGAGAAGACACAGAACTAAAGAAGGCATCTGCATAGAAACCAAAATGTCATTCCAGTCAAGAAATAAAGCAAGGGTAGGTTACTGCAAATTTCAATCACTACACTGACTATACTACCTAAAATGCTATTGAAATAAAATCACATGCACATTTTAATTTCATATACTTACACGCACCAATAGTGTTTTATAATACAACATTTGATAATAAATGTTCTTAAGATAAATGAAGCAATTGTTTACAAACTATGGATAATGTATGACAAACATCTATCAATTAAGTTTATATTTGTGTGCAGTAACCTGAATAAAAATAAACAAACAATTTTCAATACATTTTCAGATTTCTTTTCAACAATGTACAAATACATACATGAAAGATATACATATATATATAGTAAATTTTTTTTATATTCTTTCAATAAAAAATTTATGAATAGCAAGGCATATGATGTACATGGCACATAAAAAAAAACTTTAAAAATACCTACCTTGCCCTTGCTAATGATAAAAAAAGTATCCCCTCTAGCACCTTGTCGGATGATATAGTCACCTTTGTTATAAGATGTCTATTGTAAAAAGGTACACATTAATCAGAATATCTCACAATAATTACTAATAATAAGAAATCCTTTAATAATACATGTACTAGAAGATTATTATTCATGTTAAGCATACTTTAGAGCAAGCTAAATTACAATATGCTGCTGATTATAAGGTACAAATCTATAACGATTACCACTATAGAAGGATTTTGAATCATAAAATAAAATTTGAATGGTCAAGTTTGCTAATGTATAATGCTATAAGAAATCCATTAAGCAAGAAAGTTTAGTAAAAACACATGTAGCAAATATCTGGCTATCCTTTTATGCACAAAACGTTTGGACAAAGGTAACTACAAAAACTGCAAATATCTGCTTACAAAACTTGTTCATGGACAGCACTTGGTGCCACAAATTAAAAAAAATATTTACCTTAATAACCATACTTCAATAAACCTATAAACCTCAGACTTTACATATAGAAGTTATAAATACAAAACATGTTATGTATAACCAGGCATGACCTAACAGGTTTCTTTTAAATACTGTAGAGTCAATTTTAGTTAGTTTACATACTTAAAAATTCCAAAAATCAAAAAGTTGCCACCAATTTAAATAGCTTCATGGTTAAAAGAAAAAAGCTAGATTATCTTTAAAATTCAAAAATTTCATAAATATAAAGAAAATTAAACCTTTTTTAAAAGATTAGTAAATGTGCAAAACTGTCTAAAAAAGTTTTTAGTGTAAAAATTGTGTTTGATGAAGTAATTCCAACTCAAAAACAATAATGCACTTAAAAACAACAGTTAATAGATTAAGAATATAAACTAATTTTTACCTCCTCTAGTACATCAGCTATCTTTATTAATGTCTCTTCATTGAGTTTTCTGAATGTTGGCACACTACACAAAATGAAAAAAAAAAAAACAATACTGGAAACTTATAGGTTTTTTTGTTTTGTTTTTTAAATCGGTAAATAAAAAGATATCCAGACCATATTATTATGTAAATATTTGCATAGTATATCAAAAGAAATGCTTTAAGTATTGAATGAAAAAGTTCTTAAGCTGCTAATTCAAGGAAGTTCAAGGCTTGTATACTATTCAAGTTGTTTATAAAATAGTGGATATAAATTTATTGTGGCAACATGTGGTGAATGTAGTATTACTCACAGGGTAATGTTGGATGCAGCACACTGTAAGGATAAGAAGACAAAATTAGTTTGTTTATTAACTCTTTATCTCCAGAGAAAATACAGGCTTTGAACAGAGCAAAATTGGTCACAATAAAATGTATTGGAGAATGTTTTTTTTTGCAAAGCAGTGGGCATGCTTGGTTATTGAAAAATATATATAGTATTATACAACATAGGAAAGAGAAATGGTTGTAAATTCACATTTTACTAAAAATATGAAGGTTTTGAGAAAGATAAATTAATTTTAGACTGTGATTGAATGGTAGAAAAGGTAGACAAGATGAAGAAATATTCATACAAGCATAACTTACCAAGTCCTTTCACTGCCCCCCATGGTGAACATCCACTGCAAAAACTCCAAAATGATAGGCAGATGAAGATTGTTGAAATGTATATCCATATCTGTACTTAAAACCATCAGTAAAGTGCATTTTATTGAAGAATAGTGACTCAGTATGCATTACATCAGAGGGAAGTAATAAATGAAGAAAATCAGGAACAGCATTTTACAAATATATACAGCCTACTTACAGCATTCATCATGTCTAGGTTAGTGCTATTCATTGTTTTGCTTGTGACAAAGCACACAGCACTTCTTTGGAGACAGATGTGGTATGTCTGTTCAAATATAACCAGAATGATGACGTTTTCCAGGATCACTACACTGCAAACAGTCTCAATCTTTTCCTTCATAGTCCACCAGATGTCTGGCTTAAACCACCCTTTCTTCCCACATTTTGAATTCTTTGGTGGACAGTTTATGATGTCTTTGGGTGTCACCTCTGAAGCTTTATTTGTGAGGCCATCAATGAGGTTTTGTTTGAAAACTTGCTGGCTAACTTTCTTTGTCCCTTGTGGCTGGCATAAGCTGTACACGATGTGGGCATTTACTTGAGTCACTTCGATAATCCAGTGGTATACTTTCTTTCACAACTTCTGGGTTATGTGGTTGTTGCACACTATAATATCCCACCATCTGGTCCATGCAATCACAGCCATTCAACATGTTGTATTCTTCCATAACTTTACAATGGTGTTTGCTCCTGCTCCCTTTTGAATGGTTTGCACTGCAGCTTTGATTGATACCAACACATGTGGCATTTTTACATTTTTCCCCCTTCAATCAAGACCCTGGGTGTTGTCTCCAGAGTCTAAAAACAACCTTATTTCCTGATGATTAAGTTTCAGATTTCTCACTTCTGCAGGAAAACAGACATGATTGATAATGGCTGGAGACGGCTTAAATGGGTAATGAAGAAAAACTTTAATATAAGTTTAACATGACAGCAAATGGTACCTGATGATCGAACAAAACCTTGTACGAAACGTTGTA